AGACCGAGCAACGGGAGCTCACCCCGTTTGTGGGGATTCGAACCGCCAACCTTCTGATCGGCAAGCCCTAGGCTCTGTGGTTTTAACCCACAGTGCCACCTGCGTTCCTATCTGTTCCTGTAATACCTAATAAAAAGGCTTATGGTTTTTTAAAAAAAACAAAGGGTTTTTCTTAACATTTCCCCCCATTCATTATATATCATTTCCCAGTATTTTTTTAATACTGAGAGCTGCTCTTTCTTGCTTATTCTCCCTTTGCTGATTTCCGAGATCTTCATTAGCCCCAGTCAGCAATCTGATGGCTGCATCGCTTTGAGTCAGCTGAAGTTTCTGAGCACTTTTCAAAGGCAGCCCCATCCAAAAGGGATGTAACTAAAGTGTGGGTGTCCCATTGTGTTGCATGATTAAGACAAAAATTTTGAATGGGTGGCAGGGTACTTCCTAAACTGGTACCCTCCATACCTCGGTCTTTGCCTTGGACCTTTTTTGGGCGGGGTGTGTGTGTGTTTCTTAAAGCACCCATATCTGAGGACCTCCTTCCATATCACTAGGAGAGATTTGATTGCTCTGAAACTTTAGATTGTGACTCCCCCCCTTCACTGTGCCTTTGTTCATTAATTTTGGCCGATGACCGTCGGAGGGAAGAGCCGAATCAGAAACTCTTTTGTTTCCCGGGTATTTAGTGGAACGGGAGTTTCGTCCCTGTGCAAGGACGAGCAAACCACAGTCTGGCCGGACGGCTGCCAACGTCGTGGACGGGATGCTTGTGTCTCTTCCATGACAAGCGCCTCTTTATTAATTCATGGTCCAGATCCCCTCTGTACATGCTGTTACTAATATTAGGTTTCGGCAGAAGTAGCAAGGGACACCAGCAGCTCAGGGAAGGGAATTGGTGGGAGGGGGAAAGGGAAGCTAGATGCCTCGTGCTGTTTCTGAGAATTAAAATGTGGGGGGGGGAGCAAAGCAAATTCCTTCTTGAGTTTTAATTGGGCTTAAATATTTGTCGATCTAGAGACCTCACACCCACACCATCACGCTGCTCTGGAAGCAATACAGAAATTGTGTGGGTGTTCCTAGGGGAAAAGATTTCTTCCTTGCAGCCCAAATCTATTAACTTTTACAAGGAATATGTTTAAGGGTGCTCAAGGTCTGAGGCCCAATTTTTTTTGTGGTGGGTCCTATATTTCCAGAATATTTCCCTCCCTTAACCCCCCCAAAAACTCAATTATTCCAAAATTTGTTTACTAACCACCATCTGATTAGGGGGTAGGCCATACCACAATGAAAGAACACCTGCCTTGAAGGCAGAAGGTCTCAGGTTTGATTCCTGGCATCTCTGGATAAGGCTGGGAGAGACTCCTTGCCTGAAATTGTGGAGAATTGCGGCCAGTCGGTGTACACAATACTAAGCTATATGGACCAATGATCTGACTCAGTATAAGATGGCTTTTTTCTAATACACAGATGTGTCTATACATTTAAATTAGTATATGCAGATTTTCACAAATATAAGCTGACTTGCCAGCAGAACATGGGAGAAGGATCTAGGGGTCTTGGTGGACCACAAGCTTAACATGAGTCAACAGTGTGATGCAGCAGCAAAAAAAGTTACAGTGGTGCCTTGCAAGACGAAAAGAATCCATTCCGCGAGTCTCTTCGTCTTGCGGTTTTTTCGTCTTGCGAAGCAAGCCCATTAGCAGTTTAGCGGATTAGCGCTATTAGCGGCTTAGCGGATCAGCTGATAAGTGGCTTAGCGGCTTAGCGGATCAGCTGATAAGCGGCTTAGTGGCTTAACGGATCAGCTGTTAAGCGGCTTAGCGATCAGCTGTTAAGCGGCTTAGCGGCTTAGCGGATCAGCTGATAAGCGGCTTAGCGGCTTGGGGAAAAAACCCCGCAGGAACTCGCAAGACATTTTCGTCTTGCGAAGCAAGCCCATAGGAAATTCGTTTTGCGAAGCACCTCCAAAACGGAAAACCCTTTCGTCTAGCGGGTTTTCCGTCTTGCGAGGCATTCGTCTTGCGGGGCACCACTGTAATGCTATTCTTGGCTGGATCAACAGAAGTATCATAATAATAATTTGTCTGTCTGTCTGTTACTTCCCTTGATCAGGATTCTGTGGACGGAGTATAAGAGCACCACTCTATTCTGCCTTGGTCAGACCACACCTGGAGTACTGTGTCCAGTTCTGGGCACCACATTTTAAGGAGGATATTGACAAGCTGGAAGGTGTGCAGAGGAGGGCAACCAAGATGATCAAGGGTCCGGAAACCAGGTCTATGAGGAATGGTTGAGAAAGCTGGGTATGTTTAGCCTGGACAAGAGGAGACTGAGAGGAGACATGACAGCCATCTTCAAATATCTCAAGGGCTGTCCCATGGAAGATGGAGCAAGCTTGTTTTCTCCTGCTCTGGAGGTTAGGACTTGAACCAATGGATTCAAGTTGCAAGAAGTGAGATCCCAACTAAACAACAATAAGAACTTTCTGAAAGTAAGAATTGTTTGAGAGTGGAATGGACTTTCTCGGGAGGTTGTGAACTCTCCTTCCTTGGAGGTTTTTAAGCAGAGGTTGGATGACCATGTGTCATGGATGCTTTAGTTGAAATTCCTGCAGTGCGGGGGCTGGACTAGATGTCCTTTGGGGATGCCTTCTTCCCTACTATGATTTTCTGATTCTATGCATAGGTATGTGCCCTGGAGATTGTGTAGAAACCAAAGCATCAGTATGAGAAAGAAACTCATCTCCTTTTCTTTGCAAATAATATGGTTGTAACTTTCTGTTTACAATAATGCTGCCAAATAGGACTGAGAACCTCTGAGCAGGTGAGAAGTTCCTTTCCGGTTTTTTAAAGATTTTATGGGCAAAGTGATTATGATCATGTGCAGAGTGCCCTACCTTTACGAAAGGAGCACTTCCTTACTACACTCGGAGAACGATGACACCGGCAGCTATTTCCCCCACAGCTTTTTCAGATGCTTCTGGTCTTCCTGAGAAGACACAGCTGATGGAGAACTGTATCATCAATCCCCCATCTATGCTCCAAGATAAGTCAAGACTGGAAATGCAAAAGTATGTGAACTGGGGGAATGCGGGCCTTGATGCCCCACCAAACGCTTCAGCACATCTGCGACGGCAATATGCACAGACTTTCCAGAGTCAAAGGATTAGTTTTATTGTGCTTTTGCTTGGCAGATCTGGTAACACAATGGATACCTTCTAAAAGCACAGATTCTTCCCCAAAGAATGCATGCTATATCCTTACTTAGCTCCTCCACTTAGAGAAAAACGTTGATTTCTTGTAATCCTCCCCAAAGATCCAACAAATGTAAAAAACAGCGGTGTCATTGGCCAGACGGGTGCTGTTCTTCTTGAGGTTCCCTGTGATACTCTAAAAGACAGTAATAATTCCTATATGCAGCTATATATTTACACATTTATATTAAACAGATGCCGGGCTTGCTTATAACGAAAGCACTAAGCATTCTTTCTGGACGCTTGTAAAACAAATGGCCCAAAGCAGTACATTGCAGGCCTTATTTGAAAAGGCATCTAAGCTTGCAAATGACACACAAAATGCATTCTATTCAGGGAAAGTGCGTGGAAAAAAAAAAAGTACATTAGTCAGAGCTGCATATAAAAATGGACGTATTATGGGGGGGAAATGCACGAAAATTGAATATTGCTCCCGAAATGTGGAGAACTGGATTTAAGAGGATCTTTTCACTATTTTCACCCAATATATGGATTTTTGTAAGCATTTGTTTGTTGGAGAGCTGTGCTGCAAAATTCAGAAATGTACATTTTAGAAAAGCAACAAGCGCCTACAGAGAGCAGCTCCAGCACTGCTGAATTCAAGCTACTGTATATATGAACCTCAGCAGTGCTGGAGCCTAGGAAAGGAAAGGAATTATCTTAATACGTGATGAGATTGCAGGGCTGGAATGAAAACTTCCTTTCAGTGGTAGCTGAATGGTGGTCATCATCAGCTCCCCCCATAAGAGCCCAGAATTTTGTACCTTTGGCTGGCCATGGTGAAGCTAGAGCGAAATAATTTTTTTAAAAAAAATATGGCCCAGTTTCTCAAAATGTGATTGACAGCTCTTACAGCAATTTGCTCGCTAATCAGATAGCGGTCTTCTCCCATAACCCTGCTCTGCACATTCAGTTGACCTTAATTGTGGATCTGCCTGACCTTTGACCTGACAAGAAAACGAGACTCAATCATCTTCCTTCTTCTTCTTCTTTTTTTAAAATGGGGGTACAGTACAGGTTGCTGCTGCTGTGCTGTGTGCGCAGTACAGAAGTTAGGGATGGGGAAAGAATTCAGTGCTGATTCACTTTTAACGAGAAGCCAACTAATTTGCACTTCTCAGACCAATATGCAAAGCGAAACGCAGCTATGCTCGGAAGCCCACACGTCTGCAAATTTTGCAACGCGGTTTTCCACCAAGCAAACAATGTGTATGTAAATGCATACGAAGAGGAATTTTTGTTACCCGCTTTGAGGTTTTTCTACAATCAAGTGGTATATACATTTAAATAAATAAATAATATATATATATATATATATATATGTGGAAGCATAATAAAATGCATCATATTAGGGGGAGATGCTTGAAGAAATGTGCATATCAGTGAAAAACTACATACAAAATGTGTTTATGGGAAGGGGTTATGGGTTTGTTATTGTTATTGTTTCGTTATGTATTTTGTACCTTCATTTTGTGTTCTTCCGTTTGTGAACTGCCCTGGGATCTTCGGATGAAGGGCAGTATACAAATTTAACAAATAAATAAATAATCTGGTAAAAACCTGAACAAAGCAGCAGGCATCTTGAGGGTTTTGTCTTTCTTAGTTGAAGCCTTGTACGTAGCAAGGAAACATTCAATCAAACATACAGAGGTGGAAAATTCCCTCAGAACTACACAGCCAATCAGCGGATGTGCTGCCTCAGCAAAGACCATCCCGCTCTGACTGGTTGCTAAGCAACACCTCCACCCATCGCATTCTCGGCTAGTTGACTTTAACGCTAACAAAATTAAAAAAGTGGCACTGTGCTGAGCTAGAGCATTCTGGGTAAGTCATTGCTCTGTTTCAAACCTGAGAGAAAGTCAGTTGCCGCAGTTTCCTGGCAAGGCACTCTATGGTTTGGCTAGGCCAGCTCCAGACCAGGCAGGGGCCACTCTCAGAGCAAGTTGGTGCAATTAGTTTTGCCAGTTAAAGAAAGTGGAGCAAAGTTGACTGTGGTTGTGCTTATATTCATGCTATCAATTTATGTTCTGAATTACTATTTTAAATACAAAATTTCATATAGAGGACAACACTGGCCTTTAGTTGGAACATGAAGGAGCGTTTCATGTAGACCTTGAGCATTATTTTTAGGTACAATTGAAAAAGAAATGTTTTTGATTTGACTTCTCCACTGAATTTTGACATCAGTTTCCTGTTTTTGAGGAGTAATTGATCCACTCTATCTTTTATAGGGCTCGTCTACCGCTTCCCTTCTCAATTATAAGCCCTTTGTTCATTCACCCTTCCTTGCTTCCTGGCTACGCACTGAAAATAAACTTATGATGTCATACTCAATTGTGTAGCATCCAAACTGATGTCAAAACAGGGGATTTAGACTTCGCCGCAGGATCAAGGTGGAGATATTGTCTGCAAAACCAAAGCTGATTAAAAACAACAACGCAAAACTCAAATGTCTTCAAGGGTGCCCAAGCAGCTTTGTCAAATGTTAAATTAATTTGCACATATGTATTCCTTAGATGTAGTTGCAATGAAAAGTTTTCTCGACATGAGACGATTCCCATGAGACCAGCTTTCACCAACAGCTTTCACCTCTAGCTGATTCGGACTGCAAATTGTGGGAATGTTAAGGATAGTAGGAGAGGATATGTTGATTAAATATTATCCTTCCTTCACTCACACTAGTGAGTCATGTAGCAGAGCAGATTCGCCTCAATACAGCAGGAAGCTAGTCTGCAGATTTGTTTGAATCTCTTTAGTTAAGCAGTCTAGTCTGGCTTGATCAAAGGTGTCCCCTTTGATCCTTCTTAAAAGTATAAAGACACAAGTAACAATAAGTTTAAAGGTAAAGGTTAAGGGACCCCTGACCATTAGGTCCAGTCGTGGCCGACTCTGGGGTTGCGGCGCTCATCTCGCTTTATTGGCCGAGGGAGCCAGCGTACAGCTTCCGGGTCATGTGGCCAGCATGACTAAGCCGCTTCTGACGAACCAGAGCAGCGCACGGAAACGCCGTTTACCTTCCCGCTGGAGCGGTACCCATTTATCTACTTGCACTTTGACGTGCTTTCAAACTGCTATGTTGGCAGGAGCAGGGACCGAGCAACGGGACCTCACCCTGTCGCGGGGATTCGAACCACCGACCTTCTGATCGGCAAGTCCTAGGCTCTGTGGTTTAACCTACAGTGCCACCCGCGTCCCTAACAATAAGTTTACTCACAGTCAGTTCACAGTGCGATCCCTGAAGGCGGACTTTAGCTTGTCGTTACAGAACATAGTGTGAGTTCATCCCTTATGGGGCTTGAGCCCATGTCCTGCTGGCTGAGACCCAGCAGACAGCAAAACACATTAAGAGAACAGCACCAAGAGAACAAAATGGATGCATGAGAGCAGCAGGGCATCAATAGAAAGATGGCTGAGTGACTCGGCTATTTTATGGAGTCAGCCAGGATCACACCCGTCTACCTGGTCACATGCAGGGGGAAGACGCTCCAGACCAGTGGAACAGGAAGTTATACTGACTGGAGTGAAGTCCCCCTTCCTGTGTCCACTCTAGGGAAACAAGGAATGTTGTATTTGGCTGCTCCAATGGATCACATCCCACACAAATCGCATCAGCCCCAGTCAGCACAGCTGGTCAATGGGAGTCATCGTCCAAAACAGCTGGAGGGCACCAGATTGGTGCAGCAGACCCTCTGCCCTCCCTCCATTTACATATTTGAGAACTATGGGATCATGAAACCATACTACTCATTGCAACCTTTCCCACCATTTGGTAGGCCTCTCACTATTTGGTATGATAATGTTGCCTTTTAGCACCAGCATTTGACTGTTGTATGAGCTGTATTTTGACAACTGCAAACCAGCTGCCCCCAGGGTCTCTCAGTTTGGCTGCCTTTCCCATCTGTTTTACCTGCCTCCCATTTCTGAATAATTTATTTTTACCATCTGCATAAATTGAACACCTGGCCTAGGGGTAACTTATTCGCTTAAATTATTTAGGGCTTTAAAAATTACTCCCCGGTACCTCTTCCATTTGTAGGCAGGCAACATAATTGACAGGAGGAGACCACCCCCCTCACTGTTTGCCTTTTGGGGTGGATAGAACTTGGTAAGTGTTCTCCTTCTTTCTGAATACATATTCAGAAAATGGGACCAAAATTGTAAGGGTACGGAAATCCCTTTGATAATAGGTGTTTTCAGTTCTGGCCCTTTAAAGGAATCTGATGCTCTTAGTAGAATACAGTGGTACCTCTGGTTACATACGCTTCAGGTTATACACTCTGCTAACCCAGAAATAGTGCTTCAGGTTAAGAACTTTGCTTGAGGATGAGAACAGAAATTGTGCTCCGGCAGCATGGCAGCAGCGGGAGGCCCCATTAGCTAAAGTGGTGCTTCAGGTTAAGAACAGTTTCAGGTTAAGAATGGACCTCTGGAACGAATTAAGTACTTAACCTGAGGTATCACTGTATAGGGAAAGTGGGAGATCAGGAATTGCCCTATTAGTTTGTTCGCTTCAGGCTTTCATGCACTTGTAAGATTGGTTTCAGGGTTCCCAACTGCTCAATTTCTTACAGCTGGTTTCAATTTTAGGTACGCCTGTTTTCCTCCAATATGTGGTCATTCTCAGTAGAAGCATCTGTCCAAAGTAGATGTGCACCTGACTGGTGCATAGCTGTCAACGTTTCCCTTTTTTAAAGGGAAATTCCATTATTCCGAATAGGATTCCTCTCAAGAAAAGGGAAAAATTGACAGCTATGGACTGGTGCCTGGGTGGGAGCAGCTAGTACACCGGTAGCAGCTACTATTGGTAGTAATATAGCTGCTGCTACAACCTGCAGCCATAAATAAGAGCAAAGTGCCACACCGAGCTGATACTTCCCACACGTCAGTTGCAGCAACTTCTGCGGCCCACAGTGATCAAAAGTATGTCTCTCAGATCGCAGAACTTTCTGTGGCTGAAAGAACTTTCTGTTGTGGACATCTGTGACCCTCCAGAATGGTTGGAGTGCCTGTTGAGTAGCTGACAGCTTCGGGCATGGCTAACCCAATCCCTTTTGCTTCGTGATGCTTCCTGCTGTGCGGTGCGACTTTAAGCTTTTGCACCAAGGACTCAGGATCACGTCTCTCAAACAGGCCACTTTGTGCAGGTGAAGTGAGAGGGAACACGAGAGAGCAGCCATAATCTCATCGTGGCATTTTGGCTCGCTGCCTTTTATTTTTACAATGAGGGGCAGGAGGGGAGAGCCCCAAAGGTTCAACTCGAATCCCTGTTGGGGTTTCCTTTCCTGTCTTCGATGTGTCTAGCCAGAAACGCAAGACTGACAGGATGATAAAACGCTGATGCCAGGTTCGCTTGCCCATTCAAAGACCCTACCTAAGGTATCAGGTACCTGGGCTCTACTTTGAGGTCAACCGGACACCTCCCCTGAGGCCTTCCTGGGCTGAAGGATATATCGACTCAAAAATTCTCTCAGGTATAGCAGCTGTTATCTGAGCTAAGATCAAAGTGCCCCTCTGTGATATATATATATATATATATATATATATATATATATATATAATTGCACACATCTTCCAAGTTGATCTTTTTTCTCCATAATTCAAATGCATGTTGATCGAGCCTCATGGGGAAACAGTGGCTTTGCTGAAGAACAAGCTGGCAGAATATCTGTGTTGTGAAATTTTAGTTTTGTTAGAAAACTAAAAGAATGAAAGAAAAACCCTAGTGCAAATTAAACACAGAAGGTATTTACTGTACCAGAAGTAAATAACATTTCATAAATAGCAGAACTTTACATGGTTTGATTACTTCAGCCAATGTTTCCAGGGTGCTGCTAGGATTCTGTGCTCAGAGGGTGGGCCATTGTAGCCTTACAGAGAAAGGCTTGAAATATTTTTATTTTTTTAAAAAATTGTTCTTATTTTGAAATCCTCGTTTCTGATTACCGGTCCACAGAACAGTCTACCGCATCTCGAAGCACGTAACAAAATGCAAGTGCTACTATAGGATGCCAGTGAAATTTCAGGTAAAAGAAAATTCCACGTTAATTTGAGAATTTGACAAACCCACAGGTAAATTTTGAGGAAAGCGAGGTAAGGGTTTTGATAGGATGTGCAGCATTTCTTAGGCAAGTTCAGCACATCTAGCACTGTAAAACATTAATAAAACTTCCCTATACAGGATTGCCTTCAGATGGCTCAGGGGTTGGATAACTCCATACCCTCCAACATTTCTCCAATGAAAATAGGGACATCCTAAGGAAAAGCAGGACATTCTGGGATTAACTTTTTCTAAAAATGTGACTTGCCACACTTTGTGATGGCATAACTCTCAATAAACCCCCGTAGAGTCTTTCCAGTTACAGGCAATAATGATTTTAAGCTACTGACAACAAGCGGCTGATCAGTTCCTTCTGTTTCAGGTCGTGATCAGAGCCAATAAGGAGGTTAAATAAGGCCAACTACAGGAAAGTGTGCCCCCGCTGTCCCGTAATGGAACTGATTTCTTGAAACACCTGCCCCCAGACGATTGCCACCCTCCCACAGGTCCACCACCTATGGATCTACAACCAAGGTTTCACCGAAAGTGAATTTCAAGTAAAATTGGGGGTTTTCTCCCCAGCAAAATATGTTGGGACACTTTTATCACTTCCAGTACTGAACTTCTGTCCTCTTCCTGAACTCCTGAATTGTGACTCTTGCCTGCCGCTGAACCTGTGCCATTACTTGCCTGAATAAATATCTCTTTCTTACTTACAAGTAAGAGCCTCTATCTCTGTGTTTTGGGTGGGAGCCTGGACAAGACCTGCAAAATAGATCAGAGGCATAAAAACCAGTCATCACCTAAGAGGAACTTTCATGTGCCTTCCCTAAGTTACCAAATTCATTAAACGAAGGAGATGATTCACAACAAGGAGATAATCAGGTCATTCAGACAAAGCATGCGCTACCCCACATCTCAAAAGCAACTTTCTGATACACTGAGGAGCAGATATTACTTAAAGGATGTCATGCTACAGTAAGTTTGTACAGTAGATGCTACAGTAGCCTATACTGTATGAAGAATTTCATTCAAATAATGTAAGCAATTGTGCTTGGATTGCCATTGGTACTGGACTAATCAAGAAAAAGAGCAGAAATGGAAAATGCTTCTCAATGCAGTCTGAGGGCGATGTTTTCTTTTTCTTGGATAAACATCTGAGATTAGATTATTTGGATTGTAGTCGGCACTGTTTGAAATTTGTTCCGGTGTATATTGTCTGCCCTGTTGCAAAAGCAGAGTTATGTTGTGCCAGTTGGGATTAATATGGGCTACATGAAAGGGTTTTGGGTGGTATCATTTTCCATGGCCGTTGCATTCATTGACATAAGAATTTCAGTTGTGTTGCCTTGCAAGTCAATTCTTGCCCAGGATGGTAGAGATCAAGGTCGTGTGTGTATTGTGCTACAAATTCGTGACAATGCCACCTCATTCTTCCTCCAGAGAGTTCAGAGTGCCATCTTTAGTCTCTCAACAGTCTTCGTTGAAGCCTTTAAGCTGAGAGGTGGTGACTCACTCAAGTCCCAGGCCACCCATTGAGCATCCTTGCTGACTTGGGTTTTGAGTGTGAGCTTCAGACTCTTATCAATCCGTCTTATGGGAAATGTCTGTGGGTCAGTCATAGACTGCACACCTTGTATGCAGAAGGTTTGAACCCTGGCATCTCCAGGTAGGGCTGGGGAGGAATGAAACCCTGGAGATCTGTTGCCAGTCATTGTGTCATGGTCCGGTCTACAGGCGATCGAAGTCCTGGCTGAGGACGTCGGGACCGGGGGCAAGATGGCAGGGTGGGAGCAGGAACGAGAGTCCAGAAGCCAGGGGTCTGAGGGTCAGGAAGCAGGGAGTCACGAAGTCAAGGGTCCGAGGGTCAAGAAGCAAGGAGTCAAGAAGCTGAGGTCCGGGGATCAGGAAGCAAGAAGCCAAACGCAGCAAGGCAGGAAACAGGTTGCTGCGGCAAAGAGCCGAAGGGAAATGCTGACCTTATATCCCTTCCCGGCTCTTGCCACCAGGTGCAGTGAGTTACCAAGCAGCCTCACCTGTGCGGCTGCGCCTTGCCTCTCCAGAACAAACTTAGGAAGGCCCCAGTCCTGCGAAGCCCTACTGATCACAGGGCCCGGCTCCTGCACACACTCCTGACACATTGTTGGTAGAGAATACTGAGCTAAGGGGACCATTCATCTGACTTGGTATAAAGTACCTTCCTAGGTTTCTGTCTAAACCACATGCTCCATTTTTACCATTAACTATCAGCAGTAGCAGCAGGAGGAGAGAAAACCAGCCACCTCTGGATCATTATGATTCTTATATCTGCAATAACCATAGGGTATTGCTTTGGCCCAAGTGCTTTGCGCAGTTTCATTTTAAGCTGAGGTCAGATGACCATCTGTCATGGATGCTTTAGTTGAGATTCCTGTATTGCATGGCGTTGAATTAGTTGGCCCTCGGGGTCCCTTCTATGATTCTATGATTCTGCGATTCTAATTTTGTTACTCCACCTTGAGCATGCTAATAAAAATTTAGGATGCAAGTAATATAGATGACAGGGTGGATTTCAAAGGCCAGAAAAACCCAAAATATTCTGATTTGTTGTAGGTATATGATGCTTCTCGCACATTGCAATGAGCTTATGAAGTTGCCTTTTTTGTTGGCATCTGTTTTTCTGAGAGAGACAATGGAGTGTGCTTCCAGGGGTGAAGTCAAACTGCTGTGCTAGCAGCACTGTCCATGGCGCAAGCCTGGACAGTGTGTATGGCAGTCCTGGGCTGCCAAGATGACTAGATCTCCCTCTTGGCCTTGCTGATATGGTCCAAAGGAAAGGAGAGCAGGAGTTGACTGCAGGAGTTGCTGGAAGGAGGTGCACAAGGTGCCACCTAACTTTCTTAGGGACTCAACTCTGGATTTATGTAGAGTTTACACCTTATCCTTTTCTTCTGCTGAAGACATCCTGCAAGGCAGCAGAGGTTCAGGATAAGAGTTATCTGGATGGAGATTGCAGCATGGGAGATTCCTTCCTCCCCTCAAAGCTACTACTTGCCCAGAAAACACTCAAAGGAAGAAAGGATTTAGCCTTCTTCTTTGCACCATAGTCCAGATCTGGACCACCTCCCTCCAGCTGTTTTTTTTCTGAAGAAATAGACACAGCCAGTTCTATGCAGTTTAAAATGCTCCTAACGCAATGTGCAGTTTTGCTCTCAAAGCAACTCTTGTTCCAAGAATGAGTGAGGCTCAGTGGATGGAGAGAGACTTGCTCAGTCATAGATTTGTGGACAATGGCCCCAGTCAAGCCATTGTCATGTTTTTTAGATCCCTGACCCATGTTAAAAAAAAGAAAAGAAGGAAGCTGTGTTGATTTATCAAAGTAAGGCAATTCCAGAGCCTTAGGAATCTGTGCACTTTTGCACATTTCTTGCCAGCTCCTAAAAGGCTGCTTCACATATTAAACATCTTTACACCTAGGATGTTCTGTGCTGCACACCTAAACATGCCATATACCATAAACATAACAAATACATCCTTATAGACACATACATTACACAGATCTATACATGTCAAGAAGCCAGGACTGGTGGTGGCCCCAGCTAAGGCTATGCTAGGTGGCAATTCTAGGTTTGCCTCTGTGTAAATGTGTGAAATCAGGAAAATCTTTCTGACAGTAAGAGCTGTTCAACCGTGGAACAGTCTCACTTGGGAGGTGGTGGACTCTCCTTCCTTGGAGGTTTTTAAGCAGAGGTTGGATGGCCATCTGTCATGGAGGCTTTAGCTGAGATTCCTGCATTGACTAGATGACCCTTGGTGTCCCTTCCAACTCTACAATTCTATGATTTTATGAAATGGCCCTAAGAAAGCCAGTGTGGTGTAGTGGTTAAGAGCGGTGGACTTGTAATCTGGTGAACCGGGTTTGCTTCCCCGCTCCTCCACATGCAGCTGCTGGGTGACCTTGGGCTAGTCACACTTCTTTGAAGTCTCTCAGCCCCACTCACCTCACAGTGTGTTTGTTGTGGGGGAGGAAGGGAAAGGAGATTGTTAGCCGCTTTGAGACTCCTTAAAGGTAAAGGGATCCCTGACCATTAGGTCCAGTCGTGGCCGACTCTGGGGTTGCGGCGCTCATCTCGCTTTCCTGGCTGAGGGAGCCGGCATACAGCTTCCGGGTCATGTGGCCAGCATGACTAAGCTGCTTCTGGAGAACCTTCCCGCCAGAGCGGTACCTATTTATCTACTTGCACTATGACGTGCTTTTGAACTGCTAGGTTGGCAGGAGCTGGGACCGAGCAACAGGAGCTCACCCTGTCGCGGGGATTCGAACTGCCGACCTTTTGATCAGCAAGTCCTCGGCTCTGTGGTTTAACCCACAGTGGGATATCAAATCCAAACTCTTCTTCTTCTTCTTCTTTGGATAAAATATATATACCCTGGCTCTCCTCTGCTGCTGATCATGTGATGGACTCGTTTTTAAGAAGCTGAGGTGGGAATCTCCCAAGAGGGCCTTTCCACCTGAGTGTATATCAGCACTTGGCAAGGGATTCCAAAATGATTTGAAAAGAGAGAGAGAGAGAATAGCTGAAACGACGACATGGGGACATCAAAGAGCTCTTTGCGAGTGTAAACAATGATCCCTTGAAATGCAAGTCCTCCAGCCCTGCCCGGAGGAGTGTCCCTGGCCCCCTCCCCACCACGGCTCCATATATTTGCTCTCATTTTTAGAACTCGGTGAGTCAGTGTTTGCTTTTGCTGATCTTTCCCCCGCATAAATCATCCCATTATGGGCGCATCGTCATTGATGTAGCTGCGAAAGCATTCACTCCCTTATTCCACCTGTCATCTCTGTGAGCCGGGCTCCTTTTACACTGGCCTCCCATCCCCACTCATAACAATATAAAGGGAGGAGGTGGCGTTATGCTGAGTCATGTCAGAGGGCCATGCTGTCGAGTCATGTCTGCTCCCAAGTGAACATGGGAAGCTACCTTACGGGGAGTCAGGCCATTGGCCTGTCAACCTCAACCTTGTCTTCTTGAACTTGTCTTGCTGGACCACAACTCCCATCAACCCCACCCAGATTAGCCAATAGGGAAAGGTGATGGGAGTTGTGGTCCAACAAATGGCTGGAGACCCAAGGCCGAAGAACACTGCTCTAGACTGACTGGCACCAGCTTTCCAGGGTTTCATGTAGGATTGTTTCCCAGCCTTCCAGACTCTGAACCTGGGAACGTTTGCAGCCAAAGCACTCACTCCATGCCCTCCAACATGTTGAGTCCCAAAACCAGGATGTGCGTCTTTCCGGCTGTGCTCCCATCCGAGTCATGTGACCCGCATGAGATCATAGAGTCCGAAAGGCACACTTTAGGAGGTACCAAAAAGTGTGTGCACTGGGGTGCCATGTGAGATCACGGCCCCGGAAAAGTGCTTTTTCGCTGTGAGATCTCAGCGCGAAATCATGTGAGATCACGGTGCACAAAATGGGTGCCAAACTTTCATGGGGAAGAAAGGGGTGTCCTGGTTTACCCAGGACATTTGCAGGGTACAGTGGTACCTCTGGTTATGAACTTAATTCGTTTGGGAGGTCCATTCTTAAGCCGAAACTGTTCTTAGCCTGAGGCGCGCTTTCGTTAATGGGGCTTCCCGGTGCGTGACTTCCGCTCGCATCCCGGGGCAAAGTTTCTTACCGGGAGCAGCTACTTCCGGATTAGTGGAGCT